CTTAGTAAATTATTTAATAATGGAATAAAAATCATTATTAATATAATAATATGCTATATATTAGTTAAATAGCATCTTTGACATTGCTTGATCTTGGGTAGACTTCTAGAAAGTTAAAAATGCACATATTATATAATTTTGTAAATTATATGATCAATTAATAAAGCTCCTACCATGTTTTTCTTGTTTTTCTTTTCCTTTAAAGATTATTATTTTTTATTCAACGAAAAGATCTGCACAGAATTTAGCCAATTAGAATTTCTTCTCATAACGTCGATCATTACAGGGTATTATCCCTGGTTGAATTTAGCCAATCAGAATTTCTTCTAGAATTTTTCATACCATCGATCATTACGGTATTTAGTATTTCCATCTATGGAAATATCCCTGACTGTAATAAAAATTTTAGAGCCAGACTAGAACTTTCTAACAACAGTTAAAAGAAAAAGATTAGCTTAAATATTGGTTATTCTATGCTAGTCAGAAGCGTTTCTTTTCTTCACACTTATTTAAGATTTTCTTCCAATTAGTATGCAAACTAAAACAAATTCAATGGCAACAATTGTGCCAAAGTGTTCCCTACAAAGTCACTTATAACTACTTGAAAGGTTGTGTTAGAAAAATTTTGACTTTAATTATAAGAAACTCATTTATAATTACTTATAGGTTATTAATTTATTATAATATCAATTGATTAAATGAAACTATCATAGCAATACTATAATAGAAATACTTAAAAGTTAAGTAGCCTATTACTAGCTTGTATATAAAATACAAATCTTGGTTTTTACAAGTATAACCTGTGCTTATTATTGATATATAAAATTTTTACGCGATCATCTAATCTTATGTACATCGGAATTAATTAGAGTGAACATAACAAACAAACCTTGGTTTTACAAGTATAACCTGTGCTTATTATTAATATACAAAATTGTTACGCGATCATCTAGATCTTATATACATCGGAGATAATGAGAGTTAATATAACAAACAAACCTTGGTTTTACAAGTATAATCAGTGCTTATTATTAATATTATTTATTAATATATAAAATTGTTACGCAATCATCTAGATCTTATATACATCGGAATTAATGAGAGTGAATATAACCAAACCTTGGTTTTACAAGCATAATCGGTGCTTATTATTAATATTATTTATTAAATATGTAAATAAAAGTCCTTCTAAATCGTTATACTTGATGAATGTTTTATCAATTATTCATAATTATATAGCAGTTGATTGAAGTGTTAAAGGCAAGATTTATGAAGCTTGCAATTAAAACCGTTAATAATCATTAATGAAACTTTAACAAATCTTTCTTTTCTTTAAGTTAACTGACATTTTGTTAATAGCATCCTTGAAAGAAGTCCATTACACGAATTCATTTTTGTTTGAAAATATTAACACCAAGTTAATAAATTTGCTTGATACAACTTTCTAATTCATCCAGTGATATATATTTATTATTATGTCAATTTAGGTAAAATGTTTCATTATAAAAAAAATTAATATTTTTCTATAAAAAAATTCTAAAATAAATATTTAAAGCTTGGAAATTAGAACTTACTATTGCATTAATTATTATTATGTAAAAAAAAGTTAAGTCCAAAGATTGACTTATAGAGCTGGTAGACCAACTTCACATTAAGATTTTCTTCGAGTCTTATTTGTTTACCTTGGCAAAAAATATTCAAAATAAAGGGGTTTCCATATTTTTGATTTTTTATAATTCAAGGAACAATCTTGGTTAAATCGGGTAGGTTTGTGTATATTAGAGTGATTTTTTTCTTCGAATTATTAATTTTATATATCACCACAATTTCATCAAAAGTTTTCTATTATAATTTTTACTTTTTTAATTTAACAAAAATTATAAAATTGAAAGAGGTAAATTATTTTAATTAATTAATTAATTAATTAATTTCAACGTTATGCAGTGCAGGACACCTAATCCCGCAACTTACTGCGCCACGACGACGAATTTTGGGAAAAAATTTCCAATCAAAAATGC